AGCATGAAACTTAACAGTTGTAACTAAAGGAATAATTCTACTAGAAATGGTAGGTAGTACATTCATACTCTCTGCAGACCATTTACCCTTGAGAAGGCATGGGCCTCTTCCCACAGACTGTCATGAGTTATACTACCTGAATACCAGTCAAGACATATTCGTGAACAATAAAAAACTGGTGCAACCATTTTATAAGCACAAAGATGCTACAAAAGTGATCCAGAAACCCATGGTGATTCCCAGGTAGGATCTCCTGGCAGGTTCTTTTTTTCTTCAAATAGGACGATAGCTTGTACAAGCTCAATGCCCCTTCTGTAACTGTTTGATCACCCAGGTCTGCTTCCTAAGCCCAAATGCCAATAGTTCCTGCTGGTAACCTGGGGTGCTCATAAAAATTCTGCAATAGTAAATATTTTTCACAAGGACAAATCAGTTCTCAAAAGCCTTTTGCAAAAGGAAGTTAGAAGCGATTCTCTTACCTGATCACCATTTTCTTCTGGGGACAATGGCAACTGGTATGTGAAAGGTTCCATTAAGCAAAACCCAGCTTGTCAGTCAAGATCAAGAAAGATATTTAGCTTTTAGACTTTTAAGATGATTCAGCTGCTATTTTGAAAAGGAGATGATATATAATTTGTCAGCCGCTGTTCTGAAGGGACAAGATTACATCTAGAACATACACCCACAGGTGTCAAGGAAGCAAATTGAAGAGCCATTTTAAAGTCAAACACGACTGCCCTGTGCCGTTTCATTTCAATGTAATATATTCTTTTGTTTCCTGTGTTCAAAACCAAGGCAAAGAAGAAGTATTGTATTCATGGCCAAAGTCCTTGTCTAGCTTAAGTTCTACAAGCTCTCAGTATAGATTTCTGTCTACATGCATCTGTTTATTTGTTAAGAGATGATTTGTTAGATTTGTCAGGTTTCTGTCAGCAGTACTACAGCGGCTGTTCCGTTAGCATCACCAGCACAGTCCTCAATAGATGGGCTTTCCAGAAGCACCTTAACCTGCCTTTTTGGAGGAATGCCTAAGAGTTAAGAGTATTGTGTTACTGCCTTTCTTTTCAAATTACATTTGCCATTAGTAGTAATTAATTTTTAACCTCTCTAGAAAACACAGATGCTAGAAGGATGTGCCATTTGTGTTACTGTTTAAAAAAAAATGAGCAACTGCAGAGGAGATTAGAGATTAACACAAGGGGTCCTGAGAAAGTACTGAAGATCAGGAAGGTCAGCTACTGCTCTGATTCTGCACAAAAGTAAAGGACCAAGGGATATTATTAAATTTACAAAGACAGTAAGCGTAACACTACTAAAATAAATGGCCCATAATTCATAAACAAACCTCATTGTCATAAGTTATCGCTACGATTGAGCGCTTAGTGAAATTAAGACCAACACATTTAAGCAGGAAAACATGAAGTTTAAGGTTTATGTAAAGTGTGAGGTGATACCACACACACGATACTGAATCATAATCTAGTCACCAGAGGACTCTGTGGGGGGGAAAAAAAGGCTTCTTCAAAGTCACAGCTCACCATTTATTTCTATTTTCTTCCAATACACTGGTACTGGACCCAAATGGGAAAGTACACTAGACGAGCCATTGCTCAGTGATTAACGAGCAAGGAGGTCACCAGTAAGAAAGAGCAACATCATTTATTAAAGCAAAGACAAGCTGAATGCAAGGTGTTATTGCAGCTGTTAGCCTAGGTAATAAACAAACTTCTTTCTCCTGATACTTACGTTGCTATTGTTTCACTGGCTTCGGTAGAGGACCAGCAAACACTTTGGAAAGGGACTGAAAAGCTGACATGCTTTGAGTTAGCTTTATTAAAGAAAAGAAAAAAACACTCAACACCAAATGATATTAACAGCAGGTTTCGAAGCTCTCCTGAAGACTTCAGGTGCTATGCACGTATTTCATAGAGGAGTTCAGGATGGCCAGTCCATTGAGTTCCCGCAGCTGAAAAATATGCCTGAAAAGACAAGAGAAAGGTTGCTGGAGAGATATAAGATTACTAACAATGAAAGTTTCAAGCTTCCACTGCTCTGCTGTACCCCATGCCCAAACTGTCAAGGATGTTTAAGGCTACATTTGAGAAGTTCCTCCTAAAGTAGCATGAGAAGCAGAGTTTCTAGATTGCTAGTCCCCACAAAAAGGAAAATGAAAGTTCTAAATAATACTTGACAATGGTTCAAATAGGTGACATTTCAGATTAACAAAACTAAGAACACAAGGTGTTTCCCTTTTATATCTCTGGAGAGTTTTGCAAATCTCAGAGCAGACACTTTCTCTATTGCTCATTTGGGATCTCCAACAGAAGCATTATCCCTTGCTTTCTGCAGTGGTTCAGTGTGTATATCAGCAAGCTGAACTCAATTCCTCTGTCTGGAATGCAGTTCAAGGTTCAGTTGACAGTTTGCAGCTAGCTGGAGCTTGGCATACTCTTGGCAGGCAGCAGCAGACATTCTTTGCTGACATTTATACTTTTATTTTGCCCTCATTATTGCTCTGACCTCTACAAACTTATCGCTCCTTCTCCTTCCATTCTTCCAGCACAGGTAACATCAGAAAGCAATGCCAAATGAGCTCCTTGAAAAATGTTAAGACAGACAACTAGCAACAAAGGAACCCCAAAGCAGAACTGTGGGGACAGTACCACAAGAGGGAATCCTAGTTGGAGGAAGGGTGATTGATTTCACGGAGTACTTATACAAACTAATCATCTGCCCTGTACCTCCTTGCTCTATGAGCAGAACTGACTGACACTGCTCAGTTTTTCCAGAATTATCACCTGAGAACAACCAGATAGTGCAGGAGAACAACAGTCTTTCTTACACTACCTTGGTTCAGCGACACAAAGCTTCCCCAGAGCAATTGCTGCATTCTCCTGCACTGAAGTTCTCGTAGCATCACCACCAGCATGTTTCAACAAAATCATCACAACATTGGAATCCAGTAAGGACGTCGCTGCTCCAGGAACA